ATCGACCTACGAACCTCAGATACAACAAAAATACCTTCTCAAATGCGTCCCAAAGGCTTATTTTGGCTCTTGTGAGCACGATATTGACCCAAAGATGATGCCCTGTACTGCAGATGTCTTCACATGACAGTCTCAGAGACACTGCCAAATCGGAGCTGTCGTCAGTGCACATCGGAGCCGAGCACAGACACTTTTGAAGCATCAGTCGGCGAGACAAATCCACAGCCGACTTCTGAGATGATGGCCCAGAGACACGAAAGGAAGCCGATTCTCGAAGATTCATGAGCCTGGCGTAGACACAAACACAAGTGCACACGTCAACTGTGCAAGATCAAAAGGCAAGTGGTTCTGCAAAGGAAACAGCTGTCTAGTCGCAACCGCATCCACATTACACGTCATCCAGCATCACTTCGCCCATTCACAGGCGTAGAATAGGCCTGCAATGACCAAACCAAATTTTGACTGGGCAAAGTCAGGCTATAGAAAGTGGGAAAGATTGAAGTTGGCCACGTTCCTTGTCTCAGCACTTGGCGAGGCTTTCCAAAGAAGGATATCACGTCTCCATAGAATACACGAAAGCCCAGGACGAATGGATCTGGGTGAGCCGAGGACATCTTCCATTAGCCCCATCCACCTTCGGTTGTGGGTGGGGCGGATTCACGAATCCTTTCCAAATGTAGCCAAGGCAATAGACATAAATTCAGCGGAAGATGACGACAACTCCCGAAACGGGGAACACGACCCGGCGAGAGGAGACATGTTCCGCCGCCTCGGAGGTGGGAGTTTCACAAACGGGCAAGAGTTGCGCGGCCGAAAGATGAGGCAGGATAGAGCAATTTAGACAGTGAGGCCACACCAACTTACTGGTATCGAGGCGACGAAGGGCAGGATAGATTGCGGGCAAGCAGACACAGACGAGGAGGCAGGAGCGCACAATGGAGGAGGGCCACATCACGGCCCGTCGCGCGAACCGCGGGGCGAAGGGAATGCAAGCCGTGGCTGTCGCACAAGCCCCAGTCAGCGCCCAGATGAATCCTGAGGGCTGATTGGTTGAAATCTATGAGATCAAGCAGCCAGTGGACCGGCCAGCCAATTACATCATGCCATACGAATCGATAATATGCCTACGGAAGTGATTGGTGGCCAGTTGACGGGCGTCAGTTTTTATGCCCACAGGTGCGCGGACTATTCGGTCCGACTCAGCGCAGCCTAGCACAGCTCATTTCACCTCATCTCGGCCCAGCACGGCTCGTTTCACCTCGTCTCGGCCCAGCCGCGCGGGTCAGCGCACGGATCAAAGTTCTCCAACCACTCTGCGGAACACTGAATGCGGAGAGGTCAAAAAAAGCGGCAGAGATTGCAGGGACGGGATCTACGATCAATTGTAGGGCGACTGAAATATGGGCCTCATACGATGGCGGAGATTTTGAAAGGAAAATAAGGAGGGAGAAAGACGTCTAAAGATCCTGATTTCCTGTTAACCAACGCACAAACTACTACCGATTTTGACCAAATGGAATACTCACGAAATCACGAAATGGAAGACGACACTCATCACAGGCTTAACAACTGAAAATGAGAGGGCGAACCAGTAGGATAATTCATCAGTCGATTGCACAACATGCGGCCACTGTGAGCAGAGGTTTATTGACGAAACGGCAATAAAAATCAACATCCGGATCAAGGAATGCTGAGGGCTCCACAGAAAAGTGGACCCTTTATAACCTCTACATTTTTTCCTATAAATGATCTGGGATATCCGTTACTAAGGCAAATCCGTGTCAGTTTACCCAACTTCGTCCCAGAATTCATTGTC